CAAATGCATCAAATCTTTTACTAAACCTTGTCCCAGCACACTAACAAAGAAAAGCAAATGGCAATACTTACCTTTCTTAGCCAGATAATTACCTGATAAATTGTCCCTGAGGGATGTTTCCAACTCCTTAAAAGATGATAGCAGCTTGTCTCAGGAATGTAACCTTTTTTGTATTGTTCATTATGAAGAAAAAGAGGCCTAATAGATAGAATATATGGGGCTAATGAAATGCAGCTATAAGGCTGAATGGGAAGCATCGACTTTCCTGAAAAGTCATTACAAAACACATTGTGCAGAGGCGAGTAGGTCATGCTATTACACATGAGCAATCTTTCCTGTCTGGATTGTACTGTATTCTATTGACATGTGCAGCATGAATGTGTGACATGTGCATTAATAATACGTGGCTGGTATTGTATAAGATGTTTCATAAATATAGTTATGCTGCTGTGCATTTTATTCCATTTATTCCTCCATCCACAGAGATATTCATAGGACATCACGGAGTAAACAATGGCCATGAGAGGTATGTTTTCTAGGACTGAAGTAATGCTTGTGGATTTGATCATACTCCCCTTTTTGAAAGAGGAAACTTGAAATTTGTGAGGTAATTTCCAACAGGGTGCTAGTAATGACTCAAAAGTGTGTGGCTTTAGATGTGATTCAGAGGATTTCTTTCCAGACTATAGTTATTATATAGTTAAAACTCTTGTTATGCAGCCCTGCATTCTGTCTTCGAATCTTACAAGGGGCATTATATGCATGGAGTTTGTATGTTCTGCCTGTGTTTGTCTTCCTCAAGGTGCTCCAGTTTTCCTCCACAACCTGACAACATATTTGTAGGCTAACTGGAATCTGATTAGCTCTAGAATGTATATGGCTGTGCTTTTATAACTATAGGAGGGACTTTAGATTGTAAATTGCTGCTTGGATTGATATGTTAACAAGTTATTAAATGTAAACCTCTGTGTAATATGTCAATATTATATAATGGTATATTATGAGTATTAATAAAATGGTTGATTTCTCACAAATTCTCCAGGGTTCTATTCTCACTTTAGTGCTGCATTTCGGCTTGCTGAATGTGCGGTAATGGTGTATTGTCATGCATTAGAGTGTGTTGCATTCATTTTGAATGTTCTGCCATTGTAGCTGAGACATACACCATTTTTGCAACAAAGCGCATGAGATGTGTGTGTTGTGGTGCACTTCCCACTACTATATTAGTGTATTCAATTACTTTCAAAACTAATGGCATTGCAATGAAATATAAAAGGTGCAGCGCTAAAGAAATGAATGAATCAAATGAAATACTTCTAAAACATGTGCATATACATAAATAATAAATTATGATAAGGTGAATTGAAGCAGCAATAGAATGAATAGCAGCTATATTAACTGCTTCCCGCCCGCCATGTAAGGAAATTATGTCCTCCCACTCTAACTGCGCATGCGCGGGTCCGGGGGCACGCAGCACGGTGATCGGTGGAGCGCTGTGTCCCTTGGACACAGCGGATCACTGATCAATTGAAAGAGCCGAAGACGTCAGCTCTGTCATGTGATCAGCTGTGTCCAATCACAGCTGATCGCATGTAAATAAGTAAATGCCAGTCATCGACATTTCTCTCCTCACGAGCTGTCATGCTGACAGCTCATGAGGAGAGGAGAGCCGGTAATCAGCATTCCTCAGAGGGGACATGTACCCTGATCAGTGTGCCCTGATGATCAGTGCAGCCCCATCAGTGCCACCTGTCAGTGTCCATCAATGCCAGCTGTCAGTGCTCATCAATGCCACCTGCCAGTGCCCATCAGTGCCACATCAATGTCAAATATCAGTGCCCATCTGAGCTGCCTTTCAGTGCCACCTATCAATGCCAGTCTGTGCCACCTATCAGTGCTGCCAATCAGTGCCACCTATCAGTGTCAGTCAGTGCCGCCTATCAGTGCCAGTCAGTGCTGCCTATCAGTGCGCATCAGTGCCGCCTGTCAGTGCCCATCAGTGCTGCCTAACAGTGCTGCCTATCAGTGCCAGTCAGTGCCAGCTAACAGTGCCAGTCAGTGCTGCCTATCAGTGCCAGTCAGTGCCGCCTATCAGTGCCACCTATCAGTGTCACCTATCAGTGCCCATCAGGACCACCTACCAGTGCCTCCTTATCAGTGCCCATCACTGCAGCCTCGTTAGCGCACATCGGTGAAGGAGAGAAATCACGTATTTACAAAATTTTATAACAGAAACTAAGAAAAAACTTTTTTTTTTCAAAATTTTCAGTTGTTTTTTGGTTTGTTTAGCGAAAAATAAAAAACCCAGAGCTGAGTAAATACCACCAAAATAAAGCTCTATTTGTCTCAAAAAAATGATAAAAATGTTAATATGGGTACATATGCTGAAAATAGGCCTGGGCAGGAAGGGGGTATAAGTGCCCTCCAGGCAAGTGGTTAAAAAGCAGACACAGTGAGGTGCTCTGATCAGCACTACTAGTCTAAAGTGTGAGAGTTCATGAATTATTAATATAGCAGTAATTAATATACTGATAATTGTGGTGATGGTATCCGTGACACTGAGTGGTCAGCGTTGGGTGATATAAAATGAATAGTGACTGACAGTGAACATATATCAAATTCATTTATTTATTTACTTATTTCAGGTACTTATATAGCGCTTTACATATATATTGTACATTCACATCAGTCCCTAACCCTCAAGGGGCGTACAATCTAAAGTCCCTAACTCACATTCATACATATACTAGGGAAAATTTAGACAGGATCCAATAACCTACCAGCATGTCTTTGGAGTGTGGAAGGAAACCGGAGTACCCGGAGGAAACCCACACAGGCACAGGGAGAACATGCAAACTCCAGGCAGGTGGTGCCGTGGCTGGGATTTGAAACAACGACCCTAGTACTGCCAGGCGGAAGTGCTAACGATTTAGCCACTGTGCTGCCCAAATACTTCCAGGTGGAAGTGCTAACCATTTAGCCACTGTGATAAATGACACAATTGCGATAAACACTAATTATAAAAGAGTCCAGAAAATAAATCCATGAACAGGTGACATCCAGTGCTGGTGAATCCGTGAAAAGTACTCCTTTATATGCACTCACCAGAAGCGCATATAAAATGCGCTTGAACAGCTGGTTTCTTCCCCAGGTAAGTCAGGCAGCACACCCATCAGTCAATGAACAGCTGGTTTCTTCCCCAGGTAAGTCAGGCAGCACACCCATCAGTCAATGAACAGCTGGTTTCTTCCCCAGGTAAGTCAGGCAGCACACCCATCAGTCAATGAACAGCTGGTTTCTTCCCCAGGTAAGTCAGGCAGCACACCCATCAGTCATAGGACCATGAAGGCTAGGATGATCTCAGATAGGGATGATGACACCAAGCAGCATGAGAAATCCTGAGGAGTTAGCTCACAAAAGAGCCGGAGAACATCGGCTAATAGTGTAGTACTTTATTAAAGGTGCAGAGTATCCACGTGGAGAGTACAAACAAACAGTATAAAACAACTCACTAAGATGGCCGCCGGACCTTCGTGCGTCCCCAGCAGCGTGACATCAATGTGCAGGCTCTTCTCTGACGCGTTTTCAAAGGGATATGCCATATTGGCATTGCAGGACACATTGCCATGCACTTCAGTAATGTGCGGTTAAACTTACCTTTTACTGTGTGTTACTGCTACACATAGATCTTAAAGCGGTTGTGAACTCTACCTGCAGGTTTATGCGGTGCATACTAGTACGTTATGACAGACTTACCTTTTAAACTGAGCCCTCCAGAGCTGTCACTGCTTCTGGCACTTCCATGTTCATTGTTCTTCCTTCTGGGTTAGTGCTTTCAGGTCGTTTGAATGGCTGGGCTGCTACGACATCACTTCCATGCATGTGCGTCACAATTGCTGCATGGTGCTCTCTGTATTCATGACACACTCAGTATGCCCTGAATGCAGAGCGCAATGTGCATGCACAGTGACACCATCGGTTTGAGGTGATGTGACTATCCCCTAAATATCATAGATTTAGGAGATATTCACAGTACCTACAGTAAAGACTTATTATAAGCTTACCTGTACCTACAAGTGTGGGAATGCAAAAAAAAACAAACAAAGATACATACTCACCTAGATGGCTGCAGCATTGATCTGGTGCTGTATGTATTCCACGCTGACTCTACACCAAGAACTGAGCGATCAAACACTGCTCCATTCACTGGTATGCTTTGAGCAGAGAGCAGTGACTGTCAGTCACTGCACTGTGCTCTGCCCCTCCAGCACACACAGGAGCACCGAACTATGGAGGGGGTGGGAGCGACCAGCTCAGGCTCTCAGCAGCATGCTGAGATGGAGAGCTAGCTGACAATCAGGCATCTGGGCTGATCCCATTATTATTGTCGGGATCCCTGCAAAGCCTGCACCAGCTCTGCAATGTCGGTTGACAGCGAACTTTAGCCCACTGTCGGCTGAATCTGAGTCACAGGAGTGCAGAACTGAGTGCTACGAGCTTTGGCCATACAGTATGTCCCCTTTAAGTTAGCATTCACTACTGCTTTGATAAATGTTTTCATTATTTTCTCATTATCATTCTAATATGATAGGTAGAAGAAATCTGTCATTCATAATTACATAATTTCAGCTATTGTTGGGACATATTGTACATGGGATTGTGACTCTTACTTGCTAAAAGTAGCAGGGTTAGTCATTGTTTAGCTCTGGATGATGTCAGAGAAACATCTAATGAAATTTCATTTGGTATATGCCATGTGGTAGGTGTGAGATTATCAGACAGGTATTCAGCTACGTAACAAGTCACTTGATCATTCTAATCATACCCCACCCCACTGGCAGGTCAGCTGAAGCTGCATTTCAAGTTTTACTAGTCAGGAAATGACAGGTGTCTGCCTAGCAGGGCTGCTTTCCGTGCTTCTCTTCCTGTATCCAGATTTCTGAGAGGGACAATCCTGCTGAATGGCTTCTTTCTGACTGGGGAGGAAATAACACACAACCATGAGTAAAATCACCAAATTTTTCAAGTCCTCCGCTGGCTCTGGGTCTTCTAAAGGCAGGAAAGGGGCCCCCAGTGCCCAGGAGGCTTTGTTCAGACTTCGGGAAACAGAGGAGATGTTAACTAAGAAACAGGAATATTTGGAAAAGAAGATCGAACAGGAACTTGCCACAGCAAGGAAGCACGGAACCAAAAACAAGAGAGGTGAGCACATCGCCACCTTGCCAGGATCTTGTCTTTTAGTAGTTTAACCCTTCCTAACACTTTTACTAACAGTGTTCTTCATAACATGTAACTATGAACTCTTAAACTACCGTACTTCCGCTTCTTCAAAAAAAAAGTATCACACACTTCTTAAAAAGGAACCATGTTATTGTCTTTATAGTTGATTATTTATTGGTGCCTTGGGCAAAGTTTGTCTGGTGTATGTAAAATGGCTGTCTTGGACCTAAGGACATCCCCTTCTGCCTTGCTGTAGTGAGTGTGGCTGGCCTATTATATTATTCGTATGCTCAGGAGACCTTTGCTGAACAGTGTGTGCAGAACAGGCTTTCTCAACCAGGGTTCCCTGGAACCTTGGGGTTCCTCCAAAGATTGCTAGGGGTTCCTTAAGCAATGAGCATTTTCTGATTCTCAGATGAGCAACTACTGATAGTGGTGATCTTTTTCACTATCTGTAAGGAAGGTATTCTTTCACCTGCCCACCAATGCAAGGAGCATTCTTCCCAGTGGCCTCCAGTGTAATAGGGGCCTTCACTCTTCTACTATCTCTAAGACCATGTAAGGGGGCCTTTCTCCATTGAGTAGCAATGTAGGGAAGCATTTTACTAACCAACAATGTATGGTTGCACTGCTCTGACCACTAATGTAAAGGGACACTTCACTGGCCACTAATATTAGAGGCACTTCTGCATTGACTATCATAATAAGCAAGTGTTTCTCCACTGGGCACCAATGTGAGGGAAAGCTGCAATTTTCACAGTCTGCATTTATTTTCTGTCCATCATTACAATTTGTTTCATTTTCACTGAAAATAATTTTGTCATATTGATCAGCCCTGGGTGTCAAATGCACAACCTCACATTCCTTATCCTTTTCTTACTCCATAGCTTACCGTTCTCTTCATTTTATAAGTTTTTAACGCTTTTACTAACACCCCACATTCCTTATCCTTTTCTTGTTCCATAACTTACTGTTGTCTTCATTTTAACCCATCTTAACGCTTTTACTAATGCCCCACATTCCTTCTTATTTTCTTATTCCGTAAATTCACAATTTTCCATTGTCGTCAGTTTAACCCTCCTTAACGCTTTTACTAATACCCCACATTCCTTATTCTTTTCTTTTTCAGTAAGTCTGCAACTTACCACTCACACTGATGCACCATGAGCTATACAGTAGATATAGTATTTATTATCAGGGGTACCCTGAGACTCAAAAGTGTTTTTAAGGGTTCCTTCAAATTAAAAAGGTTGTGAAAGGCTGGTGTAGAGGCCCTTAGTTTATATAAATACCTGAAAATTATAGGCTAAGCATGATAACAGCATCACATTAAGCCTCGTTGTCCATTTGTGATGCTGCTTTATATTTATTTATAGATGTAGAGATAAACTACGTTCCTATTGACATTTTCCCATTTCTATGTCCCCGTTTCTATGTATGTGATGTACCAGTCCATCGCTTTGCCTGTATGAGCTGCTGGTGCGCAGTATATTGCGGGTGGGCAGTCTGGAAGTGGTTAATACATTCTTTGCATTAAGGTGAAAAACCTTCCACTGTGTGTTCCCTCCTTTTCTGTTCCTAACACTTACCTGCCTCCTGTATTGATCCACCGCTGTGCTTGGCTGCAGGTCTTCTCTCCCTGTCTTCCTGGTCTCACAGGCATTGTTTAGAACAATGGGAGCCATTGGCTCCTGCTTCTGTCCATCAAAGCCAGTGAGGAGGGACCAGGAGGGGGATGGGGCCAAGCTGCACTGTGTGTGTCTATAGACACATACAGCCCGGCTCAGGACTGAGCCCGCACATCTACCCCCAAGCAAGTGGCTTGCTATAGGGGCAGACACAGAAGAGGAGGAGCCGCCAAGATTGCCAGCAAGGGGCCTCAGAAGAGATGGTAAGGGGTGGCTCTGTGCAATACCATAGCACAAAGTAGGTAAGTATGAACCTGTTTATTATTTTAATAAAAAAAATATACTTTACAATCACTTTAACAAGTCTACACTATTTCATAATAAAATCAGATCCTTGCTTAAGCCAGTCATGACCAGTTCTCTTTCAGCTATGGCGAGCAGTATAACTTTTCTAAGCAAACCGCAGCCTTTGGGATTCAGGTCTATTCTTAGGACTCCGCAGGAAAGGCGTGCCTTGTTTTGTTTCTTTGATGGCTTTATGATTACAGCCATCATATTCTAGTTTGCTTTCTTCAGAGCCTCTGCTGGGAGAGGTGTTGACCTTAGATGTGTGTGAATTTCTTCTAATGAATAATGGAGTGCCTTAGTCAGAGAACAGAATCCTGAGGTGAAATACTATCCTGGAGAAATGGAAGAGACGTTTTGCCAGGAGATTAGAAACCCAGAGCTCTGGAAAGATAGGAGAACAGAGGAGCATTAGGAAGCCTATCCTCTAGAACACTATTGTGAATGCAGCTCACTATTGTGAGGCATGATTGTTGGTCACCAATACATGTAAATAAAACATATAGAACATAGCATATACAGTTGTGTTCAAAATAATAGCAGTGTGTGTTGAAAAGAGTGAATAAAGCTCAAAATCCTTCTAATAGCTTTTATTTCCATACACACAAATGCATTGGGAACACTACACATTCTATTCCAAATCAAAATATGAAGAAAAGTATATCAAATGTGGGTTGTTCCTCTAAAAAAATTGAAGAAAAGTGAATATTAGACTGTTCAAAAAAATAGCAGTGTTTGTATTCTTATTTACAAACTCAAACATTCACTATATAAACTGAAAAATGAAGATTTTGCTTTCCTTTGAATCACTTAATTAATATTTAGTTGTAGTCGCACTGTTTCTGAGAACTGCTGTACATCTGTGTTGCATGGAGTCAACCAACTTCTGGCATCTGTGAACAGGTATTCCAGCCCAGGATGATTGGACTACATTCCACAGTTCTTCTCTATTTCTTGGTTTTGCCTCAGAAACTGCATTTTTGATGTCACCCCACAAGTTTTCTATTGGATTAAGATCCCGGATTGGGCTGGCCACTCCATAACGTCAAATCTTGTTGGTCTGGAACCAAGATGTTGCACGTTTACTGGTGTGTTTGGGGTCGTTGTCTTGTTGGAACACCCATTTCAAGGGCATTTCCTCTTCAGCATAAGGCAGCATGACCTCTTCAAGTATTCTGATGTATTCAAACTGATCCATAATCCCTGGTATGCGATAAATATGCCCAACACCGTAGTATGAGAAACATCCCCATATCATGATGTTTGCGCAACCATGCTTCACTGTCTTCACAGTGTACTGTGGCTTGAATTCAGTGTTTGGAGGTCGTCTGACAAACTGTCTCCGGCCACTAGACCCAAAAAGAACAATCTTACTTTCATCAGTCCACAAAATGTTGCGCCATTTCTCTTTAGGCCAGTCAATGTGCTCTTTGGCAAATTGTAACCTCTTCAGCACGTCTTTTTTTCAACAGTGGGACTTTGCGGGGGCTTCTTGCAGATAGCTTGGCTTCACATAGGTGTCTTCTAATTGTAACAGTACTCACAGGTAACTTTAGACCTTCTTTGATCTTCCTGGAGCTGATTGTTGGCTGAGTCCTTGCCATTTTGGCTATTCTTCTATCCATTCAAATGGTAGTTTTTCGCTTTCTTCCATGTCTTTCAGGTTTTGGTTGCCATTTTAAAGCATTTGCGATCATTTTAGCTGAGCAGCCTATCATTTTCTGCACTTCTTTATATGTTTTCCCCTCTCCAATCAACATTTTAATCAAGGTACGCTGTTGTTCTGAACAATGTCTGGAACGACCCATTTTCCTCAGAATTTCAGAGAGAAATGCGCTGTAACCAGCATGTACAACATTTGCTGCCTTCCTTCATTAAATAAAGGCAATAATTGCCACCTGTTTTTCAAAGAATGAATGACCTCACTGATAGAACTCCGCACTGCTATTATTTTGAACATGCCCCTTTCAATTAGTGATTCAATTACACAGAATCAGCAGCATGCATGTCATGACTTTTGGGTCTGTTGGATTTCTATTACTCTACTACACCTGCTAGTAAATTATTTGCCATGTAGAAATATCATTTCTACCAAAAACAGTGATTGATCAGGTTAGTGATGTCTGACTGCTATTATTTTGAACACAACTGTAGTCTTGTTACATAAACACTCATTCAGACAATAGCAAATGTCTTCATTATCAAACTGTTGGTTGTGTATAATTAGAAATCATTTCTTAAAGAAGACCTAAAGACAAATATTGGCTGTCCTACCAGCCCCATCACCCACTGTCAGAGCTGCTGTTAGAAACCACGGGGCCCCATAAAGTCAACCTGACAGGGCCCCCTCAAAAAAAAAACACAGTTTAGTATGCTTCAGTTATAAATTATCGGTACCAATCCCTCATTGCGTTCATTCAGGAAAGTAAAGGGCTTGTAAATGTGCTACATTTACCAGACCCTTCCCCCATTCTCCATCCTGAAGGAACCTTTTGCGTGACTGCAGTTGCCGGTGGAAAGAGTAGAGAAGCCAGCAGCACTGCAGGGGTGGGGGCACACAGGGGCCCTGGGCAGCAAAGGGAAACGTTTGGTGCACAGGGAGGGTGATGGATGCGGCAGGGGGGGTGAATTACTGGAATCAGTCCCATGTATGGGTCTCTCTGCAACAGATGAAAGCCAGCAAGAGGGAGAGGAGAAGAAGCCAGCTTTCAGTTGCTGCAAAGAGCCATACAGAAGATTGGTTCCAGTAATTTACCTCCCCCCCCCCCCCGCTGTGCCGATCACCCTCCTTGCCCACAAATCTGATTCACCTAGCTGCCTGGGCCCCGTACAGTAAGATTGGTGGTACCTCCTTATCCACGGCCCTGCCCCCTGTGTCACCTCTGACTGTCTAGGCTGCAGCTCTACAACTACTCTTTGGTGATTAAAGTGACTGTTGCTGGAAATGTATTTTCTTTTAACAAAGGGCCCCTTAGACAAGAATTATGTTCTTGATGTTGCTGTAGAACT